ATTAGTTATCTCTACTAGTTTAGTAATATACTATTAACTAATATAACCTAAGCGCTTATACTAGATCTATATAGATCCTTTAGATCTAGATTCTTAAGCTAATTTCTTAATCTTAGTTATAAATACTAAGTTATCTAATATTAATTTTAGGTATTAAATCCCTTTCGGCTATATTAACTAGGTTAATTTTTAATCTTAGTATATTTAGTATACTAATTCTCTAGCTATTATTTTAATATAATTTATCCTAAAGTTTACTAATAACCTACCCTTTATTATTAATCTATAGGATATTAGATTATTATAGAAATTAGGTAAGTATTTAATATTATATAACTCTATCCTAACTACTTTCTTTAATATAGGACTAATACTATATATAACTATAGTACTTACCCTATTAACAATTATTTCTATATCTCCTACTTTAATACTACTCTATATATCTTCAAAAGTTATAAATAACCCTTAGTTGTTATATATATATATTTATACGCTAGTATCGATAACCTACCTCTTTCTAATAGGTTTAATATTATTAGTTTAGGTATAGTTTTAGGTAGATATAATAGTAGTAGAGAAGTTATTTCTCTTATTTCTTAATAGCTTACTTACTATTAGTTTATTTACTACTAGCTTACTTACCGCTAGGTTACTTACCTTAGCTAAAAAGAAACTATATACCTAATCGGTAAAGGTAGTATTTACTTACTAAAAGCTTACTCCTTTCTTCTTTATTATCTTTATATACTTATTATCTATAAAGGTTTTCTAGGTAGGGTTAGCCTTTATAGCTTTATCCTATTTCTATTTAAATACTTATATAGGATTATATAATAGCGGTCTATTATTAGGGTATATATCCTAATATTTCTATAGAGAATATCTAGTATTAAGCTTCCTATAAGGGTAGGGTCTTTTCTATACTAGTATTTCTTCCCTTTATTTAGTTTCTTTATAGCCTTACTAGGTTAAGAAAGCTACTTTTAAGATACCTTTTTAAACTCCTAGCTTACTATAAGTAATATTCTAGTAAGCTCTATACTAGTTAAGTAACTTAGTAAAAGGTATATTACTCTTATCTTATAGTCTTAGGACCTAGGTTTTATAAAAGCTAGGTAATATAACTAATATAGTATTAAGGAATTAACTACTAGTATTATCAGCTTTAGTTATTTTTACTCTCTTATACCGTTTTTAGACTATTTCCTAATTAATAAGCTATTTATTAATATCTATATTATAATCTAACCTTTAATCTAGGTTACGCTATTACTAATAGAGCCTAGCTATATAGATAGAATCGCTCTCTAGTATAAATCTCTTATATAAATTACTAAGTAATTCCTATAGTATCTTATATTTAATAATAAAACTCTAGTATATTATATAAATAGTAGTATAAATAGTAGTTACTACCTAGTTTAAACCCTTCTTTTTCTAGATATAAATAGTATTACTAGTTATCTAGTCTATCTATATAGATTACCTGGTTTAAAACTAGTTATCTAAGTATTTATTCTTAGTATCTTTAATTAATAATATTAGTATAGGTATTGTTAATTAACTTAATACCTTTAGTTAGGATAGGTCATATAACTCCTATATATTGTACTAAATAGTAATCGATTTAATATATAGTAGCTAGGAATCCCATGATTCTGTGTCCTTTAATATAATACAAGAGGATATCGCAGAGAGATATAAATCAGTCATATTAATACTAGTATATTAATAACTTCCGATACTTTTTAGAGGAGTCAGGGGTTACCTTCGACGATTCAGGGGTTAACTTAGGTATCAATTTATCTACTAATTCGGCGATAGCGAGGTTAAAAGGTAATCTATATACAGATAGATCTATTCGAATAGAACGATTCCGGGCTTATAACTATCGGAAATCACTGGTACAGTAATGTATGTTTCAAAATGACAGATGTATATGACTCTAACTAACTAAAATGACAAGAATCCCCTATTTAACAATTTGCTGGGGCATAACTGACTAAGCTTAATATGCAATTTGTATGGGGCCCACTATCATAGCGGTCTATGTATTTTCCGAGGTGTTGAATACTCGGGTTCCCAGTCATGTATTGTAACATAGCTTTCGACAGATAGCTCTTTCTCTCTCTCTCTGCACTGCGTCACATAAGAAATACTAAAAATACTTTCTCTTATCGATCTAGAGTCAGCCCATACTAAATTTTCCAACCTACCAACACATTTTCCTCTCCAGTAATGCTGTATGTAGTACTGCTATTTACCAAAAGGAGTGAACTCTTGAAGAACCATATTGCCTCTAAATTACAATAACGGTTGTTGTGGTATCCACTTCACTTTAAACACAATCTCTCCAATGAGATGTTTGATATCGGCCGTTCTGCCCCACTCCATCCATTGATACCTTAGGCATCAACGCCAGAGCAACTTTGACAGATTTAGCCAGTGTAGTCCATCTTTTAGCCGATGAGGTGTCTTCAACTACAGTAGCAATAGAGGACATTCCTCTGAATGCCCCCACGGAGGCAGCGCTGATAGCTGAGCCACTAACAAGGCCTAGGAAGGTATTGCCGAAGACGGCAAAGTCAATGAGTCCAGTGGAGTTGCTCTGATACAAGGCAAGCCAATCTACCGCGGATTTCCACGAGCTCCAGTGCTCCTGAGCAAAGGTAGTATCATTTGAGTACTCCATATAGGAAGCGAAAGACATGAGAGCAAGGATGTGATAGTCCGGTAGAAGATATGCCATGCCGTTGACGGTAAAGGCTTTTGGGTCAATTTCTGGCGAGTAGCCAAGGGATGGAGCCATAGGCAGTTGGCCGGTGAAGAGTTGATAGCTGAGGAGCTGTAAGAAAGTACCAGTGACATGGTCCTTGCGGTTAGTTGTCACTCCGATAATCCGGGTCGTGTGCCCAAAGTCTCCAAGCCAAGCCAATCGATCTCGTTTTGCACCATCCACGCAAGTTGGGAAGTAGTTGTCATGCACGCCGTATTCTGGCAGAACAACCTTGGCATCGGTCATGGGATTCAGGTAAACAAGCTTGCCGGTAGTATCTCGGGCGCTCACTTTACGAATGCGGGCAGACTGATCTTGCCATGCGCCAAATCCAAAGGCCCCCGAAGATGAAATCGAGGCCCCGCCAGCATAATAGGTGGATAAAGAGACATTGAATAGCTGGGTTTGGTTCAAGGTAACGGCCAAGTGTCCAGAGCGGATGGTGGTCCCTATCCGGTACCATACACCTTCTTGTACGTCGAACGGCACCGAGAACGAATCTAGCACGTAAGAGGTCAAAGTGGTCTGGTTGACAAAGTTTACTCCATACGCCAGGGTGATGGTAGATGGGGGGAAACAGCGTTTTATTCGTGTTGAGGAATGTCGATTCTTCTGGGTACTTGCTGGCCAAATTGATGAGAATCCCTTCCTTTGATCGAATGCCGAAGTTATAGCTGGTCGACCAAATCAAACCTCCTCGAGTAATTTTTGCATCAAACTCCAAGTCATATTCGGTGAGGTTATAGGTCAAAGCAGAGTAGCTAGGGACACTGCTAGACACTAAAGCACCTTGCTAAGATACCTTCCATGTCGACTTCTGCGATCCTGCGTCAAAGCATACCAGCGAGACCGCACGTGCACCTAGGTACCAGATTTTGTTGTAGATTTCGTTCGACGAGTGAAATGTGCCAGGAATATTCCCAGTGTCCACCGCGCCCACTGAGGACCTGAAGGAAACTGTTCGGAATTTCACCGTGGTGTGAGTGAGCAATCGAATGCTTTGCCATCGCTGACCTCCTTGTAGGAGTTCGGAGCTGAACTTTCCATTTCGAGTGATGTTGAACGTTTCCACCCGGAAGGAGTCGGCGAGACTAGATACAAACAAGCTAGGGCCATCGCTGAAGGGCTCAAGCAGCCCAGGACACTGTTCACTGTACTTGATCTCAATCTGCGTCGGCCCGGAAATCTTGGAGATCTCGAAGCTAGGAAAGCCTGCCACCTCAGCACCGTAGTCTAGGGTAGCCCAAGGTGAACTGGGTGTCAAGGTGAAGTCGCGGGAGGGATTCTTGGGTATTTTAGGGCTCCCTCCCACCGTAACACGTTGAGGATCAAAATAGGTACTATCTGAGGCATCAGTAACATGATCATGACAAACTTGACACGGGGATGGGGACTCAACGGATTTCTGGCTGTAACATGGCACCCGCTTGCTAAAAGCAAGATGAGAACCGTAACTACCTTCATGGTTGAATGTTGAAGGTTGGGTTTGCAATCTTGATCAGTTAAACTAAACGTGCCATCTCCAAAAGTAAACACCTGTCGGTCGCTCCCTGCGTCATTTCTTTTGCAATTATGAAGCTCCTAGTGGAGAATGCCCCAGAGCATTGTACTTTGTACTGAATAAGTGGAGAGGATCGTCCATAGATCGGCACTGATCTCCTGATGGATTATACAATGAACTCTCTATACGGGTATAGGGACATGTACACGTATCATTTGAAGTTCTAATGTTGGAAACCTGCAATCTTTTGAAATTATCCGTCGGGCTTCCGTCTTCAAACCGTCGATCAAATGTATTGAACCATTCTGGGTTCAATAACCTACGTACTTCACACGTGAACCCTAACCAATACGTATGGCACTTAATTATCGGCGTAGAAAACTTATGTTAAGTACATGTATACGGAGATTGGAGTCACCTTGATGGAGCAATTGAGGCAGTGCCGTCGTAGGCTCTGCATATTTCTGAATGCTCTAGGGCTTAGGGTGTGCTCAGTCAGCACTCAGCTAACGGGCCTCAAAGTATATTAGAAGACCAAAGCGAAATAGCAGCTTCAAGGCACAGGGGTATTAGTGATAGAGAGAGAGAGAGGTAACGGGGATTGCCTTTTGCTACGGGCGTATCGCAGTGTGAATCTCAATCGTACCGATTGTCTCTTAGGAGATTTTCAGACTTTGGCTTGTTGCTAATTTACCCCTCGTATATTTTTGAGATCCAGGAGTTATTGCTGCGACATTTTGTTCTTCTCCAGGTGTGCACAGGACAAAGATGTGCGGGGTACGAAGACTTATAGGACTCAGGGTTCAAAACCCCTTTTATAGGTGGTTTAGTGCCTGAACGCCTGACTTTAGAACGGCAGAAAAATTAAGATTCCTGAATTACTATTACACATATCTTCATAATCAAAGTACACTGGTTGTGGTCGCGTTTAAGTCCAAAAATGAAGCTTTTGATGTCTCAAACAATTGTACTAAAAAGGCCATCTGAAAGACCATCTGAAAGACCATCTGAAAGACCATCTAAAATGACCATCTAAAATGACCATCTGAAATGACCATATGAAATGACATCACAAGGCCGCAAAGGCGGCCGACTATTCTTGTATAAAGATAGATTCATTTGTATAGGGCCGAAAGCTTCATTTTTGATAGTTGTAGTATTAATGAATTTACCATACACTGTATAGAGCGGTGTAAAAGCCGGTGCTAGATAAGGCATTCGGGCATCAATTTCCACCTACAAACGGAGTTTTGAACCCTGAGTCCTATAAGTCTTCGTAGCGGGGTAAAAAAACTTCACAATACTCGTCATATTCCTCATATTCCCCATGCTCCATCACCACATCAGTGGACTAGTAACATGTTCCACGGAGTATTCCACGAAGTGTTCCACATATGTTCCGCGGGGATACTCTTCCCCTTCCTAGAATAACGACGGACCTGTACTCAGTAGATCCAAAAATAGAACCTTAGCACGTCCACGAAACCTTCCGATAAACAGGCTAATCAATATACGTTCGATTAAGTTCTTCATGTTTCCCCACGTGTGTACTCCATGATTACTCCGAAATTAACCCTTTCGTCGGCTCAAAGAACCGCACTTTTCAGATAATACGAGGTTTCTTTCTGGGCACGTGCCTACAACGTAAGCTGCGCGATACCCCTGGGGCTCACAAACCCTAAAACATAACCCAAGCCACTATTTGGTTGAGGTTGGGGTTGGGGTTTAAGATTAAAGGGATTTTCCGGAGTTTGTTTATCCGGTTGATCGCCGGCCATGTTAGGAAGATCATAAGACTGATCGTCTCCTTAAAATAAGCTTGTGTGCTTTAGGGGGTATATCCTAGACATTTCCTATGGATGGGGCACATTCAGGGGTAGACGTGAGTACGAACCCGAGACATATAATATAAATACTCAAACAGACCCATCTTTATGAAACCTTAATGACGAGTACATTCTGAATTTGAATCCGTGCTGACTTCAATCCAACGGTGTGTACGGAGTACTGGGTGTATTCAAACTAATATACTAGCACCGTATAGCAGGTTCCATAACTTTGAAAGTGTCGACACCAAACACTGCGCTGTCGATTCTTTTTTACGAAGTCCTTGGGGAATCCAAGGCTGAAGTGGGCCCTCACAGCCTCCTTTGCATCGACGTGGCTTTGTATCAGTTAAACCTCATTAATTTCAGGATCAATATGTTTCAGAGCATCAAATTTGTAGATCCTGTATCCGTAAGCAGAGAGAGAAATATATATATGTACATATATATCCACTACTTTGTGCTTCTTCAAATCTCTACACTTATCCTCTTCAAACAATCATCCTTCAAAATGCATTTCATCAACTTGATCGCCTTGCTTGCTGCACCAGCTATTGTAGCAGCTACCCTCGATCCAGCTTCGTCGAACACCAAGGGTTACAAACCGGCCAGCCTGAACTGCAGTGGTGCGTGATGACAACTAACAAAGAAGGAGTTTTCTTATGCTGACTGTCATAAAATAGCCACCAAGGTCTCTAAGGCCATCCAAGCGGCCGAGTGCTCCCACAACACCCGCACTGCCAAGACCCAAACATTCGCCGTCTTCGAGACCGACCACCAATACGACTCTGTCAAAGGCGCTCCCTACGGCACATGCAGTGCGTATACCTGCACTGCCCCAACCAGCAGTCAGTTGGAGAAGGACTCGGACTACTGGATCTTCTACTGGGGTAATGGTGGAACGAGTACCGGATATGGTACTACCTGTATCAAGTCTCCCCAGACCGGAGAGTGTGGTTGTGAGAACTCTGATGGTACTTTCGTTGCCGGCAGCAGTAGCTGTAAATAGATATAGACAGGTGGAGATCTCCTCGCTTTCTAGCAATTTGTGATTTGCATCCTGGAACTTGAAGATATATGTCCCCAAAACTGAAATTGAGGGCGCTTAGAAGATGAGGTTCCTTTCTTTCTTTTCCCCCGTAATATATCACTCGGCTTTGATTCTCTGTTAAATAATAGGGATGAACTTAAAATCTCCCCTTTACAGGGGCTGACGACCTAGCTCAGATATTCAATGTTAGCTTCGAACATAGATAAAATCATTTCGAAAATTGAAATTTACATATAAAGGATGTGTCGAAGGTGCCACTACTACAATAGTGGGGACCAGAAAGCAAGGAGGGAGAGAGTTTATTCTTAAGGAGCAGACTCTCCGACAATCTAGCTACCGGGGGGTTAGATGCCCAAGGCACTAACTGGCGGCGGCCTAAGGCCGCATACCAGAAAGGGATCCTATTAAACGATAGGGATTGCGGCGCACTAACCGGCCCTTTCATAAATTACATTGGAGGGTCTGTAATTTTGGTGCAAAAGTCTAAGGGCCGGGTAGTACCAGATTAATATGTATACTATATGTAGATAAAGAGGTAAAATGAGTGTGATTGTTCAAATACGTGCATACTATATAAATTGAATGGTAAATGACAGGTTCGGGTTGACAGATTCGTCCTATAAAGCGTATCACCAGCCGAGGAATCCCGGGTGCGGGTGAACAATACGCGCAGAGAGGCTTAAGCTCCATTGTCAGGCTGTGTGTAGACCACGCCATCAACGGTAGTGGTTAAAGTGCCATTTCCGTAATACTTGTTCAATTGAACGTCGACCTCGAACTGGAGTCCGCCAGGGCCAGTGACCTTTGTACTGTTGCTAATTCCGGTGGAGGACAGGTCCGAGAACCAATCCACATGAATCAGGGTAGAATTGGGATGAAGAGTCGTCACCTTCTCCTTGCCTGTGATGAAGTTGAGGCCATCATCGGAGTAGTTGTGATACGTGGCCTCGACTGTTTCAAGTGTAGTCCCAGCACTGTCGGGTGTTAAGGTAACATTGGCATAGCCGCTCACTTGGCCAGTTAAAGTGTAGTTTCCAAATGGTAGAATGGTTTCTGGAGGAGTTGCGCCTGGGACATACGGTGTACCCCAGGGCACCTCATCAGAGACTGGATCCACGGCAACTATCGGAAGGGGCTTGCGGCTTGTGAGGGTTGCCAGCATGACCCGCACATTTCGCCCACCGGGGGCAGTGGACTTGGGACACGGTAGGGGATTGGATCCGCCGCAATCCGGGGCTACATTCAGGAGTTCGAAGTACGTAATCTTCGTACCATCTAGTGACCATCGAGGATCGGCAGCTCCATTCCAGAAAGGATCATTCACGCTACCCGGACTGCCCTCGCCAGCGCCATTTACCTTCTGGCCTGTATAGTAGCCGCTATCCTCTGAATAGGGGGCAACTTCTCGGTCGAAAATCCACGGCTGAAAGAATCGCCGTTGTCCATTGTTTCGGATGGATGAGATGGCGGCGGTGACAAGTGTATCGATGAGAGGTGGTACGCCCCGCATCCCCGCCACGAACATGAGTCGATTGGTAGTTGTGCTGTCCATTATGACATCCCATCTACCATCTGGGGAGGTGTCGATGGGATCGACATATTCTGGACCGTATGTCACCCGATTAACTTTCCCGGTTTGCAGGTTGATCCCGAAAATGTCAATGTTGCAGGATTCAACAGGGAATCCGACGTAAGTGACCTCGTCACCTAGTCCGCTCAGGCCCCGTGCTTCTCCAACAGAGATGGACTGCGGATTGAGGCTCAAGGTACTCCCGTTTGTGAAAAAGAAAGACGTGCCCCCCGGTTCATACAGTCCAGTCACATTGACCAGATCGTATCGTGGCGTGAGCGGTGTTCCGGTGGTGGGTGCAGGGTTGAATACCAATCGTGCAAAATAAGCAAACTGCGTCACCGTAGGACCTGTGAGAGACATAGAATTGAAGAGTAGATGAACGTCATCGGGATGCTTTCGTAGCTCACGGATAGCTCCTCCATCTCCGGAACCATCCGGCGAAGTGTTCCACCGGATCGGATAGATATGGACCTTTTCCGGTGTACACTCAGTACTAGCGAGCTGTGCGGTACCACAATCAACGATATGACTTCCCACAAGAACGCGAGTACCGTCGGTGAATGCCTGGGGATACTGGTAGTCCATGGTCGAGGTCATACCGTATTGTTGGTCCTCCGGTACCCCACAAGTGATACACTTCCATGCATCGCCATTGGGGAACAACGTGCCATTCGCACGAACAATAATCAAATTGAGGCCAGTATAGATGCTGGACGGGTCTGGAGCAGCCGGGGCTCCAACGAACTCCAAGGAAACTGTGACATGATCGCCATCTGGAAGAAAGTTCCCGCCCAGAAGAGTGAAAGTGGTTTGACTTATACAACCAGTCCCATGCGGATTGACTGAAAGTGTACAGCCACCCTCGGTCTCGTTGGTAGTTACTGGAGGCAGTGGAAGCTCGATTACCTCAATGGGCTCAGGCTCTGGGGGCGATGACAATTGGTTCCCACGTTCCACCAGCCCGTATGGTACTGTGTGGGCGGAGACAGTGAGCAACACTCCAAAAATGGCTGGTGCTGTGAAATGCATGTTGAAGGTGCCTGGGAGAAAGTCAAGGAACCGAGAGTTACCACCATGCTGCTTTATACATTTTCAGTTTATGTAGCTGGCTCAACATCACACCATATGGTCATTAGGATCGTCCGTCCCTGCAGAAAAGCGTGTCTCGGAGTGACCTCAGGTCAATTGTGGACCATGAAGTCCGTAGCCGATATCGACCAACGGTGTCAAGTGTCAGTGCATACGCGTATCCATAATTTCACTGCTCCACATCCAAAACTCCGGATGCACATCACAATTTAATGACCGGAACAAAAGAACGGGAAACGAAAAACGAGGAAACACCGAGGCATCAGTTATCTCATATCCTTGTGATTTGTATTGAATCTATGTTGTATGCTGTATGTTGTATTAGGGGTGTACAGGGACAGCGTACAGTGGACAGCGTGGGATGAAATATGCAAACAATGCAAACATCAGCCTGCTACGATGTACGATCTTCTGTGTGAGATGGAACCTATACACACCAGTTTAGCCGATAATGCAGGCTGAATCTAACACTTGGTAGGCAATATCGCCAACAATTACTGAAAAGGATATATAGTTAAACTTTCTATTGACACATATTACTCTGATTTTGCCTGATCTATAGAATTGTATAGATGCACGAAGTAGGGTGGGGGTACAGGCGGGCTTGGCATCACGGCCCCGCTTGGGGAATGCGGAGAAGAAAAGTGGTGCTATCACATCTCTCTAACATCGACTAAAGAATGGCTGGCCGCTCACCCTATGGCCAAGCGTGTTTAGGCTGTTTCAAGACTAAATGCAAGTGTATTCCTCGTCCCGATGGCAATGGATGCGAAAGGTCAGTCTGGGCTGCATTTCGCCTACAACATAGTTCCTGCTTGCCAATCCTCACCTGTGGACCCTCGTTGACACAATTACATAGGTGCCACCGTCTCAAGCGGCCATGCAATCCTGCCGATGTGTCACGTCGTCGCAGCGATAAAAAGCAAAACTCGCCAGATGCCCGTATTGCGAAACTTGAGGGCACACTCGGCCAGCTTGTCTCGCTGCTTCAGGCGGGAAACATCAACGTGGGCACCATGAACAATGTCCACATCGACAGAGTTAATGTATGATTATAGTATTAGTAGAAATTGTCACCGTAAAAATACTAATGATATTAGTACCAGCCACCCCCTCCCATTATTCCATACCCAGACGAGGTTACAGAAGGGACCGAAGGGAGCGGGACTATGGAGGACTCGCGTGCCGCTCTTATCCACGAAGACGACGACGATACTGATATAAACGCAGTAGGTGCCTCGGCTTCTTGGTGGACGACGGAGAATGTGAACGAGTTCAGCACCAACGGCACCCCTCTCGCCAACCTTCCGTCCTCGACCATGTCGGGCGCGTTTATGTCGCCCCCTGTATCTCCGTCCTCTGCATCGATCTCTCTTGACACCTTCAGATCGCGTATGTTGCATCACTTCCCCTTTGTTCATTTGCCTGCCCACCTCGCGGCCGAGCAGCTGCAGCTAGACCGACCATTCCTGTTCCGCGCCATTGTTTGTGTGACATCAGCATCGGCTGAAGAGAAAATGGCAAGCTCCCTCGAGCTGAAGCGTGTCCTTTGCGAGGCAGTGTTCCTTCAACAGTCACCGCAGCAGAAACAGCAGCAACCACAGCAAACAGTCGACCTGCTGCTAGGTCTCCTTGTGTACATCGCGTGGAGCTGGGAGCATCTGCGTAGCCGTCGCAGTCTGTCTCGACTCATGGTGGTGGCTATATCGTTGGTTGGGGATTTGCTTTTTCTGGATCAAGTCGTACCAGAGATAACGCGCACAATCCACCACCTCGAACCGCAAAGCGGCTTTAACAATGTGTGCGGAAACACGACGGCGACTACGACTACGGGTGCTGGGGTAACTGATACCCAGCTTCACCTAGAGCGTCAGCGAGCTATTTTAGGCTGCTTTGTGCTTGGGTCGGCTGTCTCAGCCTACTTCTCCCAGATCGATGCACCGCGATGGACACCTCAGATGGACGAGGGCCTTGCTGCCATTATTGCCAACGGAAACAGTGCCAGCGCAGAATGTCCATCTGATGCTGCCCTGGCTATTCAGGTCCGCCTGCAGCTGCTCGCTATGAAGGCCGCTCAAGTCCGGGAGCGAGCCCAACTCCCCGACCACCCTCCGCCGGAGACTCTTTCGCATCAAGCTCTCTTGTATATCAAGGTGCTGATGGGGCAGCTACAAGAGCTCAGGGCGACTGTTCCTCCGGCATTCCAGCAGGACTTTGGTATGTTTTTCAGCTCAGCACGAGTTTCCATTGAGAATAAATACAGCCAATAATTGCTAATTGATAAATAGTCCTCCTCGCTCAGACATACTACACAGAGATGTGTATTGTCGAGACCATCTACAACCAGGAGCCCACTCGCTCGTCACAGCCAACATGTGGGCCTACGCGAATCTCTTGTTTTTGGCAGTCGGCACTGGCGATTAAGTCGTGCACGTCAACCTTTCTGACCTTCTCGCCGTCTGGACTCCTCGGTGTCTCTTTCATTCAGTGGGCTCAGCTGGCACGGTGTGTGGCCACCCTGCACCAAATCAGCACGCTGCAGGAGCCTGGCTGGGATCTAGCCACTGTGCACAGACTCATCGACCTGCCTGTTCTGCTATCCTGCACAGCAGACAAGCTAGAGCTCGCTGCTGCTGAAGCTGGCGAGCAGCGGGCGTCAGCCGACGGTGTATTCACGCAATTAGCCCGCGGCCTACGCATGTTCCAGTCGGCATATCACGATATAGGACAGCTGACTGAACACGGAGAGGCATATAAAGCAAAAGAAGAAGGAAATAGGGCTGGGTCCAGAGCGAATGCGGATACGGCTACAATTGCGATTACAGAAGAAGATACAGATACGTTGACATATGGCCAACATCCAGGATACTTGATGAGTCCCACATTATGGCTGGATCAGTTTTTTGACTTTCAAGATTAGACGATATGTACTCCATAGAGGCTTGACATTAATAAAGGTACTCACCACGAACCACTATTACACATGTACAATGAGCTATATCGCGCTTCCATGGGTTCAGCACTATTAGAAGAGAGCTGTATACAATCTTCAATCTAACCCAATACATAGTTTTGCTAAGAATATACCTTCCCTTTCTTGGTCCTACTACCTGGTTCAGAGTACCTGATCAGAACTACGCGTCGTGGTCCAGGTGTTTGTTTAAATGGGTGACACACTTCCAGAACTGTGTTTGAAAGTGTTTCATGTACCATTAATTAGCATATGTGGAATCACGTTTATAAGCTATCCATCACTCACGCTTGAGATCTACCTAGAAAATCAGCTTTCAACAATGAACGGGCAATTACCTTTTTTGGGCTATCATGTCCTACGAAAGGCGCCAGCTGTTATGAAACTACAGTCAGCTGCAATCGTTCCAATTCCTCCTATGACCAATAAATATGGTGGTTCTAGCTTAGCTGGCCGGACATAATCTTAAATCCGTCAGCCAATAGGGGCAGGACTAAGGGCCGGCTTTCAGATTCCGGTTCCGACTTCCAGCGACAAGCCCTAACTCAAGGGCTTCACTCACTCGCGCAGTCGTAAGATTCCGGTCCATGTTCTAGGCCCTTATTCTCGTTCTTCCTCATGTATTCAGTAATGTTATATAGTTTCCAATGGCTGCACACTAAGCTAATCTTCTTTCCTCCCAACAACTACTAACATAATTCTTAGCATCAAGAGTCCAGTGCCATAATCACGAACATGACCGTGACCATGGCCGACTCCAACGAGTTGCTTGACAAGAGCAAAGTACTGCCTGAGGAGGCTAGTGATGTCGAGAAGTACGGCTCTGATAGTGTCACTTCCAATAACGAGGCCGCAGACGATGACAGCAAGTTTCCCACCGGCGTGGCGTTATGGTCTATCCTAGGCCCTGTTACAATCGCCTACTTTCTGGTCTTCCTCGACATGTGTGTCGTGTCTACGGCAACCCCCGCCATTACAGAGCGATTTGACTCTCTGGTCGACATCGGCTGGTATGGCGGCGCGTACCAGCTCGGCAGCTCCGCTCTCCAACCGCTCACTGGCAAGATCTACAGTCACTTTAACATCAAGGTAGGTCATTCTATGATCTCTTAGGAGACAAAAGTGAGAGTTCTCAACGTTGATAATAGTGGTCCTTCCTTGTCTTCTTCTTTCTTTTCGAGCTCGGATCTGTCATCTGTGGAGCCGCCGTCTCGTCGCCCATGTTCATTGTCGGCAGAGCCATTGCCGGTGCTGGCTCGTCCGGTATTGGAAACGGTGCTCTGACTATTATCTCAACTACACTGCCGCGCAGGAAGCAAGCCCGGTTTCTGGGCATCAACCTGGGCATCGGTCAGCTCGGTATCGCCTTGGGGCCCATCATTGGAGGTGCATTCACCCAAAATGTTAGCTGGCGTTGGTGTAAGTAGTTTCCCCGTCTCCTTCATTAAGCTCTCCAGCCAAAATTATCTTGCTAATCATTTCCTTTTCCTTGCAGGCTTTTATATCAACCTTCCCATTGGCGCCGCTCTAGCCATTCTACTACTCCTCTTCAAGATCCCTGAGCCGACCACCAAACTACCCCCCAGACAAGTCCTTAGCACGGCCGTCAAGTCTCTGGATCTTCCAGGCTTTATGCTCATTAGCCCCGCTGCCGTCATGTTTTTGCTGGCATTGCAATACGGCGGAACTGTGCACCCGTGGAATAGCTCCGTTGTTATCGGCCTTCTGGTCGGCGCCGCCGTCACCTTCATCCTCTTCCTTATCTGGGAATACCACCAGGGTGATGGTGCCATGGTACCATTTGCCATGATCAGAAAGCGCATTGTGTGGTCCGCTGCGGGTACCTTGTTCTTCTGTCTCGGTGCCATTTTAGTGGCTGAGTACTACCTCGTTATTTACTTCCAGACCGTGCTCGACAACAGGCCTATCATGAGCGGTGTGCATCTGCTGCCAGCGACTTTAGGCTTGGTCATTTTCACCATGCTTGCCGGAATGATGAGTCCGTTATTGTCTTTTCCCTTTTGTAAATTCTTCAAAATAACTAACTTTTTCCAGCCGAGATCTTTGGGTATTACCTACCCTGGAGCCTGGGAGGAAGTGCCTTGGCCGCCATTAGCTATGGCCTCATGTCTATGATTAAGCCTACGACTTCGTCCTCGAAATGGCTTGGGTACCAGGTCCTCTATGGCGTTGGTAGCGGTGCTATGACTTCGGCAGTGAGCTTATTTCCCAATATTCTATCTCCTCTGTATCCCGAATGCGATTTTGCTAACTTTACTTTACCTGAAGCCCTATGTAGCAATCCAAAATCTTGTCCCACCTCCGCAGATCCCTATTGCTATGGCTATCATCATCTTCTGTCAAAACATGGGCGCTGCCGTTTTTCTTATTACTGCCAATTCAATCTTCACCAACGGGCTGCGCAAGGAGCTGCAGAAACATATCAACGAAATTGGCGTCAACCCAGACATTATCCTTGGTACCGGACTCAGTTCAATCCGAAGTATTGTTTCGGGCGATAAGCTCACGGTCGCGCTCAAGTCCTATACCACGGCAATTAGTCATGTTATGTATCTCGGCATTGGACTCAGCGTGGCCACGTTTGCCTTTGGCTGGGGACTGGGCTGGGTTGATATCCGGAAGGTGAAGCAACTGCAGGCCATTCAGGCGCCGAACACCAAACAGAACGTGGATTCGACAACCGAAAATTCGATCACACCTTAAGATAGAAAACGGATATAAGTCCCATTAATTATGAGGTCAGGTCACATAGCTCTCTTAGGGCATTAGCTAGGTGGAGGATTTGGTCTTTTCCTTTTGTTGTGTTTGAGTATATTTATAGAATGCTAGAAAGTGGTCTATCGTGGCTACGAGAAAGATACAGACCTCGCCTTTAATTTTTACGTTTTGTCTTCGTCAAACTAGCTTATTATATCTTTAGGAGCTATAGCACCTCAGTCGGAGATGGGGGGAGAGATAAGTATACTAGTTCAATATTCTCGTATTATTACCGAACTTAGAGCGGGACTTAGGCTCTTAAGGCCGAGTAAAGTCGGCGATTATTCTATCTGTAGGAGTTAGAAGGGATGGTACCTAGAGGAGTGCCGCTTACAGCAAGATTATGTAGTTAAAACCCCCATCCTTTCCTTTTCTTTCCTTTCCTTAACTTGATGTTTGCACTTTTCTATGAGCAAATTAAAGCCTTCTTCTCGTCTTAGATTGCCCTTCATGAAAGATTGCATAAATATACATGTTTGATATTGCTTTACTATGTAAATAACCAGATAACCGCTAGGCTGAGCAGACACCAATCACACATAAATCTCCAGGCTTCAAAGCGACACGACAATCTTTTTTGCCGAAACACCCTGCATGTGGATTTTAAAAGCCTCCTGAATCTTTTCTAGCCCCTTTCCCACGACGATCGCCTCAGGTGCTGGCACAAACTGCCTGTTGGCGAGTGCATCTGGGAGGTAGCTCGTGTAGACTTTGCTCACGACAGAATCGGGGCTGGCGGCATCCGGACCGAGTAGGATAAACCTGACCTGGATACTCGGGTCAATAGTGCCGCCCCCGGGCTGGCCACCAGCGAGAGCAATCACTTTATTGGTCGAGGGGCCCTCGTGCTTGACCAGGACAGCAGCCAGCAGGTCGATGGAGCCGTCGCCGATGGAGTAGCTGCCGGCAAGGTGAAGTCCCTTGACAGCAGCGCTGATGTCGTCAATCACGGTGTCACTCTTGTAGTCAAACACATGGGTGGCACCGAGCTTCCTGACGTAGTCGAAGTTCTTGGGCGACGCCGTCGACACAACCTCATACCCGGCAGACACGGCGAGCTGGACCGCGGTACTTCCAACAGCGGATGAGCCACCGGTGATGATCACAGCACGCTTGTCGCTGGACTGACGTGCAGGCACGGTGGGCAAGTCAAGACCCAGGTATCTGGTGTCAAACAGGCCATGAGAGGCTGTGAAGATGGCCAACGGTAGCACACTGGCCTGCTCGAAGGTAATGCTGTCTGGCAGCGGGGCGGTCAACCAGTCGCGGACGACTGTGTACAGTTGGAAACCGCCCTCGGGGGAGCTGTTAACGGAGATCGCAGCAGCCGCAGCCACAACGCGGTCGCCGACGCGGAAGCGCTCAACGCCCTCGCCCACCTCAACAACGGTGCCAGCCACGTCCTCACCGAGAATGAATGGGTAGCTGATATGGCCTAGCAAAGCTTCGCCGAGCATCTGCTTGGCCCAGTCGACCGAGTTGATGCCCAGTGCACTGTTCTTCACCACAATCTGGTGAGGTCCGGGCGAGGTATACGGTGCCGGGCTGATTTGAAGCGGTGTAGCTTTGGATGCGGATAGCCAGGCGGCCTTGTTATCTGGGTTCTGGGCCATTGTTGAAGTTCCTACTGTAGATGGTGACTGCGTGTCGTGTGAGCAAAAGGGGTAGCAGATGCGGTCGTTTGAAGATGACACGAACAGGAGGAAGCTGTGTAACCCACCGACTTGAAGTAAATTGAAAATTCAGATGTTGGTGGTGTCTTCCCTACATGGCATTGATTTTATATTTCTATGGGAACCGATAACTCCCTAGGTAGACACCCTTCGAAGCACCATGCGACGTCGCATACGGAGTTAAGACAATTAGCCATTTTCGAATCATCGATGACAACATCACAATAGGTGGCTGCAGCAAAATAGAGGACGGAATTAATGGCTTTAAGACAAAACCGTGCCCACCGGCGCAGGAATCAGAATACCGGCGGATTCCCTCTTTTGTCGAGTCTCCTCGGAACCGGATTCTGAGATTCCGGTTGTTCTCTAGCTCAAGTAATCTGAAGAATTTCGCCAAAGCAAAAAGTTAATTACATAGTTTAATTGGATATATTTCTCAATTATATTCTCGTACATAGTTCATTTACCAAAAATAAAAGTGGTCACATCTTAGAGACTACCAAAAGAGTTCAGCCGAGGCACTGTCCAGAATAGATCAGATAAACATTACTATTTTTACTTGCTCGAAGATAACATATTAAGTAGAAGACTAGGAAGTAAACAGGCTTCATAAAGTGCGCTCGGCACACTTGCATTAAAGACTACTTGCTAAACACAAGTATGTATCGCTTATAATATTTTCAGACACAAACACCGCACTTGGTATATCAAAATCATGGCACAGACACAAACCACCTAGCCCCGAGCATGCTCCACAGTAACAGCATCAGGCTTTTCGCCTACTTCGTGGCTCATCTGAACTCCCTTCTGGTGAGCGAGCACCTCCTCGCCCTGAGCAACGTGGTTGGCACCACCAAACAGAGTATCGATCTCCTCAAGAGGAACCTGCTTGGTCTCTGGAATAAGGAACCAAACGAAGACTGCAAGTAGGAAGTTGATACCGGCAAACATGTAGAAAGCATAGAAGCCCTCGTTGTCGAGGAAAATAGGGAAGAATTGCTGCACGATGGCGTTGGCGATGTTCTGAGTCTGCGATGCCATACCCACGGCCTGGGCGCGGACGTTCATTGAGAAAATCTCGGACGTCCAGATCCATACTGTTGCGCCCCAAGATGGTTTGTCTGGAAAATATTGTTAGTAAGGTTTCGTTTGCGGGAATGGTGAGCAGAGGGAACTTACAGAAGAATATGAACAGGAACAGGAGGAACACAATCGATATACCGACAGGTTCTGACTTGGCTCCGTTGGCGAGTTGTGGTGTTTCTGTTTCGACGGCAGAGACAATAATCATGCAGAGACCCATACCGATACCACCGACAATCAGAAGGAACTTTCTTCCGAATCGATCAATAATCCAGACGGCATTCAGGGTGAAGAAGATTCCAAAGGTGGCATTCAAAGCGTTGATCAGAGCAATCTGACTGTCACTGGTGAAAACCTTTTGGTAGATCTTGGTAGAGTACGAGTTGAGCGAGCCTTGTCCGGTAATCTGTTGGCCAGCATTGAGGACCAGAGCCAGACCCATGCGCTTGCGGAGAGACTTGTCCTTCCAGAGAGCGGAGTAGTTGCTAGAGATGGCTTCCCTCTCGTATTCAATGGCCTCACGAATTTCCAGCAGCTCTTGCTCGACTTCTTCCTCGGTATCGCGAACTCTTTGCAGCGCTTCGCGAGCCTTCTCGATGTGGTTTCCTCTCTGGATATACCTAGTGATGGTCAGAATTGCTTGCGGCCAATGAGAATCACCAAACGCGACTTACCAACGAGGGCTTCCGGGGATAGTCGGCAGGAGGACAAGGATCAGAACAGGAACCAAAAGCTGGAAAATGACAACCAACTTCCAGTCCCACTCGCCCAGGTTGGAGACATTCTTGGTGCATGCAAAGTTGATCCAGAAGCAGATGAATGATCCAACAGAGTAGAACATCTGCCAGAAAGTCATGATTTTACCACGGATCTCTGACGGAGCCAGTTCACCAATGTAGATAGGGCCAGCAGCTACAAATTAACTCCGTTAGTTCGTGTCATTGAAATCATGCGATCAACAAGACTTACTCAATGCAATACCCTGGCCAATACCAATGATACATCTACCTGCAAGGAAGCAAGCAAGATCGTGGCGAGGAGAGAAGGCTTGCATAAAGGTGGCAACAATGACCAAAACACAGCCAATGCCCATTCCAAGCTTGCGACCCAGGAAATCTGCACAAGGTCCTCCGAGGAAGAAACCACCAAAGATAGCGCCGACCGTGTATGCTGTATTAATGGAGCCAATGGTCGCTGCATTTGGGTGGTTCATCCAAGCCAGCCAGTTCTTGGATCCCTGGACAGAGTTGAACACAGATGCATCGTAGCCGTAAAGTACCATGCATGATGCCGCGACACAAGAGATGTACCTAGAAAGTGGGATTAGAGTATGTTCTCCGGAGTAGATGACTTTGCACCAACCAATTGTACGCTCTCTTGCGGGTCATTAAAACGCCCATCGTGATGGGATGGGATGGGACTGGTTTAACAATGAGGTTGAAGATCTTTAACAGATCGATAGCACCACTCTCCAATATATTCAAGAAAGCGGGCAGTGACAGATGAGCAACTGTATCCCTTAATGTGAGAGAGCAGTTAAAGATGAGCTATCCTACAGGGGGGGGCACTTGAGTGGGCGGAGACCGCAGCTATATAAGAAAGTACAAGACACGATAAGGGCACATTCCGGGGGCGAAGCTGCAACCCCAGCCCATGTGAGCAAAGAAAACGCCATGAAGTGGATCAGACCATCCCCAGAATTAACGACCCCGGACACGCTAAGCGTATTTTGGCATTTGGATAACGGGGAGCCCTTGTCTCCAGGATCGGTGAGTGGTGGGGTATCTGGAGTCAACCGCACATGGGCAACCCGTATTCCACTCCCATTCATTTTCTCATTGGTTTGGAGCTTTTTCAAATGCGCTAGTCTGACCTGGGGTAATGGGGATCTGGGGTTCGAGGATATTTTTCAAGCTTTCGTTCCGGCGAGATGAAGTTGGGGGGGTTTCCACGAATCGGGGGGCTGAATGGCAGTGGCTTGGGAGAAAGTCAAGTCCACCAATAGGGTAAATTGTGAAGGATTGCAGCATTTAAGTACGGAGTAGATCTAAGACATTTGACAAGGGCGCTAAGCTCAACAACCAAGAGAAAATAAGCGACTGGACTTCTTGATTCTTTTAGCCTGGAGGTAGGGCTGACTTTATCCATATCCCTAGGTAGAGATGTAGAGTTAGGGCAACCTTTGGTTACTGCTTTCCAAGGTTGTATATCCAGTTAATAATACGGTCTTTTGTTATCTTCTAGTTGTCTTTTAGGCTATATGTACCTATCTGCTACAGTATATTCTCTTTGCATACAGAGTTTAACCGACGAACATGTGCTATATGTGCTAACTACATGGGTAGTCTTCAAAATATATGGGGATAGACCGAAACATAAAGACAAGGGATAATAAGACTTCGAATTTAGTTTCATCAACAATAGACTAGAAAAAAAAGTGTGATTTAAGTAGACCCATGTAATATTGGACCTATACTGGAGATGTGTTGTAAATATACAGAGCTTGGTACATCTTGGAGAAGCCCCAATCACATGTTGTACAAGGGGAAGTTGTTTTACAAGACCGCATAAGTGACCAAGTATCCCTATTTATTCTATATAGCTTTGATCTTCTTGTTTTTGTTTCTATAAGAACAGACCGACCTGCCTTCTGGAGAATTCCACAGGGTCCGGTTTGTTCAAACCATACCGCATAGCTGCACATGTATGAAATCCTAGTCGAATTGTCAATATAACATGTCCAAAGATATTTATGATCAATTATTCCATTCGCTTCATGGTCTGAAACATTTATAGTAACCATTCCACTATAGTACTTCTTTCACTTCTGCCTCCAGTGATGCTTCTTCAAGACAACAACCACCCTTTTTATTAACATAAGAAAATCTGGCAAATATCTCTTTAGATTGGGAATATATCTCTCAAAGACTTCTTATTTCTTCCAAACCTCCTCAAAATGATTTGATCTTCTAAGCATATAGATCACGTGCTCTCGTGATTTTCCCAACGCGCCATCCGTGACGGCGAGTCCCACTTTGATCTGGCAGATTGGAGCTCTATTCTTCTTTGAACATATTTTCTTTTCTTTGACTTTACTGTGGTGTACCTAGCTATATGAACCTGACACCTTGCCTTCCAATCCAGCCTATTCTGTCATTTTGACCACACGCAATGCCATCCCGCAAAACGAAGAAAAAGCAGACGCGACTTGCTTTTGCTGCTTCAACCGCTACACCTTCAGCGGATGTGAGTCCGGAGCAAAGTAGCAGATATGCAACCCTCACCTACAATAACCCAAGCTTGGGCACATACCGTCCTCCAAAGTCTTCCAAAAGCAAGCCGGAGACATCACCCGAGAAGAAACGGCCGAAGCTCCCCACCAAGACGAAGGCCAATGATAAACCCGCGAGTACTGTGATGATCTATCCGCTCAAGATGACCAGAAAGCTAATATCCAAAAGAAGAACTCTCTATAAAAGATCAATCGGACAATGAATTCTTAGACGAACCCATCATCTCCGCCTCCCAAAAGAGAAAGCAAGCCGCGCCACCTGACGTGATGATCTCCAGCCCACCAAAGCTCAATGACCCCAAAGATGCGAAGAAACCCCGCGCGCAGAAACCACAGCGATCCTTACAATTCTCGAAGAAACAGACTGAGAACACAAATGATTCTGATTCGGAGGAGCTTTCCAGGCCCCGCCGCACACTCAAGCGAAAGGCCGCAAGCCCACCGATTGACCCCAGCGACTCAGATGAGCCAGTGGCTTCTTCAGTCGCCAAACGGCGCAGGTCTACCCGAGGTGGCCATTCTTCAAGCTCCCCTCTTATACTCAGCGGCGATGATTCAAACGAGTCAGTAGCTCCTTCGACCGTCAAGAGGCGCAGGCTAGCAAGGCCAGCCGTGGTGCCCAAAAGTGACGATGATGACTCGGACGTACCATTAGCCTCCTCGCCAGTGAAGAGGCTCCGACGCGGGCAGGAAAAAGAAGCTCCCCAAGCTCCTCACACCCCCCGCCACATCTCGAAACAGGCCAGACTTGATATCGCAGAGGATTTGGAGGATCTCCAGGATTCAGGTAGGAGCCAATTGCCACACGAGCCTTGTTTATTTATACTGATGCTAATTATGTGTAGTTGTTAAGAAAAGTCGAACTCGCGGCCGGAATGTCGAATCTGCCCGAGACAAGAGAATGAAGCATCTTGAAGCCCTCCGTCGCAGACGGGCTGGTGTGAAAGATGAGGAGCAGGACGACGAGGAAGAAGAAGAGGAAGAAGATGAAGATGAAGACGAAGACGAAGACGACTCTGATGTGCAGGAGATTGGACGACCCGGCAGCGATGCCAGTCCCTCTGGCTGTGGTCTCTGGCAGCATCACAACAACGATTACAGCGACATTGAATCAGCCATCGACCCCAACGAGAACCTTGATCGATACGAAGATGACTTTGTCCTCGAAGACGAGGTGGACGATCTCGGCGTTCCCACTGAGGAGATTCCCTTCGAGTTCACTCGACATGCATATAAACAGCCAAAGGAATACTTCCGCGACGTCATCGGCTGGATGGTGCAAAACAAACTAAACCCGGCCTTCCCTCGCTCTGACGACATGTACAAAATGGCATTCATGAAGCTGGAAGACGAAGTCAAGGGTCGGGCTGGTTCGCAGCTAATCTCCTCCGTTTGGAACCCCAGTTTCGTCTATGCCCTCCAAGCCCGACCACACATTGAAATCGCTGCCTTCCCTACGGAGGAGAACCATCCCTGCGATGCTTGCAGGCGCTCTGGACATCCTGCTTCTAGTGATATCAAGCTTTACGGGAAGGCGTATTCCCTGCAGACGCTAGAGCCATTAGAAGATGAGAATGACGACAGCGACGACAATGATGAGGATTCCAATAATGACGACGATGGAAAAGAGCGGGACCGGGATGGCCATGTCATTACTCCGGAGAATGTCCGCTACTTCCTAGGAAAGTAAGTTTCGTTGAAACAGTCATTTATATCGATTTCTCCATCTAACCGTATCCTTTTGTTTCAACAGACAATGCAAGGCGAGAGCCCAGCTTGCCCACACCCTTACCCACTGGCGCTACCATCTCAATGAGTGGGTTATCGACTTCCTGGATCGTACGGGCCATATGGATGACGATGAAATCCTCCGACGAAATGATATGAGCATCAAGCGGAAGACGCGAAATGCAAATGAAGTCCTCGGCAGCATGACCGAGACCGGTGAAGTCGATAAGCTTTGGCGTGACTTCCATATCAATCTCAAGTCTGCTCGCGAGAAAGAGGTATGTTCTTGTTGTGTGTCCTCGGCGCTCCCATGATACTAATCAGACATGTCCTTATGTTTAGTCTATCTACGGATGATGAGATGATCATATGCAAGAGCCAGCATTTGTCCTCGAATGGCTTTATCATGAACTCCAATGAAGACTACGACCCTTGCAACTAGATTAGTGATCGTTTTCCCTTTGCCAATTTTCTCCGATGCTCGACCTTCCACAATGATACCCTTTTTTTTTTTGTTGCACATTCCCAGTCATGTCCAGTGCTCCAGCTAGCCCACCAAATCTACAGAGATCCAATACAGCGTTAGGTATTCATATGCCCTCTTTAAGAAGGCCATGACTACAAACTGCGAAGATAACCAAACCCATCCTTTTTCATTACCTGGACATGCACATGGGGAAAGAAGAAAAAAAGGTGTATAGAGAAACAGGAAGAAAGATGATTGGGGTTGTACAAATACATGCATGCATAAGCTGCCGGAGCCAAAATGTCAGAAAGCATGAGAGATGCGAGATAAAAAAAGGAAGTAAAAAAACAAGAAGTATAACAAAGATCCGAACAAGTCAAGACAAGAAGAGAATCGGAAAACCAACTCTTTCCGAGTGCTCGTAGTCCTGTGTTTTGAGATCTGGCCAAAAAAAAAGGGTGATTGGAAATCCCAGGACATAGCAGATTCGTGCCGACATGCGCTTGGGTATGCTGTTTGCAGGACACCAAGTCTCGCGGTCGATGATCGTGGTCGCTGGATGGATCATTTGCCAATCTCTCTGCTTTCCGAAGTGGTATTAATTTACAGAGTGGGTTGAGCCAACTTCTCGGTTTCGGTGCCGGGGGTGAGCATCTGCGAGTAGGAATTATAATTAGTATAACGATTCAGACATCGTGAGTCCGCTGAAGAGCGCGAAAATGGCATGTGAAGATAGTGCTGAGAAAAAAAAGAATTTGAAAGATTTGCCGAGAAGCGAATACCCGAGGCAATGTACACGGTGTCAATTGTGCCAATGACGGCACGAATCGGGGATTGAGGATAATTGTTGCAATTTTGATAAAACCAAAGAAACAAGAACAGAAGCAAACACAAGACACATACCTCGTTAGCTCCCTTGATCATTCCCTGCTCGCGCTCCATCTGGATGTACTGCTCCTCCTCGGCGTAGGCCAAGGCGAATGGCACACCGAGCAGGAAAGCACTGGTGCTGATAATCCAGAGGGCCTTGCCGCTGAACGAAAAGCTGGCCTTGGTGAGGTCTGTGATGGAAGAGACGGTGTTGGAAACAGTGAGGCGGGCGGAGGGGGGAATGATGTCTTTCAGAGCAGCGATACGCTCATAGAGCGACTCGGCCTCGAGCTCAACATCCTCGTCGTCGGAGATCTCGGAGTCTATTGTTCATTGATGTCCATGTCAGATATGAGTCTTGATGTTTATTTGCGACTAATGTGTTCATTTCTGGGGTTTCGAGGTCGCGTCGTTGGGGGGGGATTGAGATTGAGAGCTGGGATAGGAGGGTATTCAGGCAAAGAGGATCCTCCCATCGAAGTGATTCCCCACGCAAGTGACAATGGCGCGATGCAGGTTCCGTCTAGGTATGGGCGTTCGGGATTCGGTACTAACCAGTGTCTGAGTAGTCATCCTCATCATCGGAGACCAAAAGAGCGTCGTGCTTGGTGGCAGTGGGCTTATCGGTGAAGTGTTCGTCTTCGACTTCAGTGAGCTTGACCATTTTGGGCGGTTTGGATGAGAATGACGAAGGGGGTCTAGATAAAGGTGATGGTTGAATGATGGGAGAACGCTCTGGTTTCGCTCCGACTTTTTTGCCGAAAAGCGGCGAAGAGCTTGGACCCACCGACAACGATGTCATTTGTTTGGGGATCTGATGAACTGGTGTTTACAAGAATATTTACAAGAATATTTGGCCAGATGATATTAGGGATGCTATAGATAAGAATATTCCGACGTATTTTGGGATATTCTTTTTTATGCGTCTGTTTAGATGTCTTTTTAAAAGTCTTCTGGAATCTCTTTTTATATCTCTTTTGAGATGTGTACACAACCCGTATAGTTGACTTTTCTACGAGTATAACCAAGGCTGGAAAGGTAGAAAGGTAGAAAGTTGAGCTGAGAAAGGCTAGGTGTTCATATAAAGCCTATTTTAAAAGAGAGGTGTATTCTACAGAGTCAAAATGCTGGCCATAGTCTATAATTACAGATTATCCTCTAGATGCGACCATGTGGCCCTATGTTCGACACATCCACGCGAGTCAGAGGCATAGAATCATCTATTTACCGTCGGCCAAGCTTCCACCGGGCAATGCGCTCTTGGATCTCCTCCCAGGGGAAGGACCGGAGCTTGTAACCTTCCAACTCACCCTCCTGCAGCACAACAGTAGGTTTACCAGTGCCCTTGCCCTCGTTGTCAACCTGGCCACCAAAGACCTTGCGAGCTACACGGCGGAGGTCCTCGACAGTGAGGGCCTCAATCTGCTCACACATCTCCCGGACACTGACCTTGCGGCCGTGGACCTGCACCTGGCGTCCAAGATCCTCAAGCTCGACCATGCGAGACTCCAGGTTCATGAGCAGCGAGGAACGGAGTTGGTTCTTCGCACGGTTGACTTCCTGTGCTTGCAGGGAGCTGTAGCCAGTGTCCAAAGTCAGGGATTGCAGCTCGCGGCACATGACCTCGACCATCTCCGTGATCCGGGTCGGGCTGCAGGATGCGGAGATTCCGAAGATTCCGCTATCCGTGTAGCTGTGGTTGAAAGCGATGCAGCTCTCGACCCAACCGTGCTGGTTCAGCACGTTAGTGTAGAGTCGCGAGTACATACCCTTTCCAGGGCCACCAGCCGAGAATGAGCCACCACCGCCAAGGAGGGTCTGGAGAGTAGCGAGAGCATAGATATCGGGCGAGGAGATGGGGAGAGCCTCGAATGCAAGGTGAATGTGACTCAGGCGAGGAAGCATGGGGCTCGCGGGCGGGGGAATCGAAGGGAGGGCAATGAAGCCACCAGTGTAGTGAGCAGGTTGACGGAGGTTAAGCACGGATGGCTTAACCAGGGATGAGTGGAGAGGCTCGACCGTAGAGTTCTTGGAGGAAGTGAGGTTCTTGAGGAATGGAAGCTTCGACAAGAGTGAAGTGTGTGTTTTTTGAGAAGCAGCCGGGCTGCTGATTGTCGATGAGGGCGTGAAGGAAGGAACGGTCGGCACCTGGCCTTCGTGGGCGACCGCTTGGGAGTCAGACAGTGTGGTTTCGATTCCACTGCCTGACAGTACAGGACCGGTGGTCTTGCTGATGTCCCTCGGCTTCATGTCGCCAAAGTACTGTTCTGTGAGCTTGACAGCCTCTCCATGTGGCACTCCGGCAAATGCAACCACCATCCGATCTGGGTTGAAGAAGAGTTCCCTATACCGCTCCACCACTGCTTTGTTGATTTCGCCTAACCGTTCTTCCGGGCACAACAGTGGGTTTCCAAGAGTGTTGTTGGCGTATGCAGTCATGTGCACCAATTCCGGAAGGATGAGTTCCGGCTTCGCCCAAATCTCGCCGATCTCGTACTCCGCCGTTGCGAGCTGTTGGATGACCTCCTCTTCGGTGATAAGGGGATCGCGGATGGTCTCCGCAAGCAGGCCTAGCGTGGTAGGAACTGCCGAGTTGAAGCTGGCAGACTGGTACATCAACGACTCCCGAGATGAGGCACACTGGATGTTACCGCCTAGGGACTCAAGAATCTCAAGCATTTCATCTCCGCTGCGCGCCTTGGTAGACTTGAAGGCTAGACGGTCCATAATGTGGCTGACTCCGCGCAGGCTCTCATCTTCGTAACGAGAACCGGCATCGACGTAGACTCCGACACCAGAGAAGGGACCCGGTAATGATTCTGTGGCGACGCGAACTCCATTTGGAAGTGTGGTGATTTGTTCTAGCTCGGCGGGATCCTGCGGAAATAAACAATTTGTTAGCCACGAATAACACTATTTTGCAGGGCTTAACGAGGCTCTCTTACCTTGGCCGAGTCATTGATGGTAGAGAGGCTTCTTGACACGGCGCGAGGAGTTCGTGTCAATGGCTTCGCAGACTCAATGGCCCGCAATGCTGTGCGGCGCATGATGATTAATTCTGTACAGATCCAACAGCGTGGTCAATTCGGGATTTGTTGGTGCACCGAATATATCCGGAAGAGGTGATGTAGCTCGGACGGATTGTCGGCGAAGAATCGTAATGGAGCCTCGATCCGAAATGCTTAGCTAATCCGTTGCGATGGCCCAGATGTTCTTCTGTGACATAGCAGATTGAAGTGGATAAATCTTTTACGATCAAATTATTAATCTTTTTGGCAAAAAGCCGATTAGTTCTTGTCATCATTCGTGTCTAGATGCAGCAAGGCTGCCCAGGTGTCTAGTCTGTTTAGCCCGGGACGCAGGACTTGAATATATACTTGTGAACATTTGAATGTAGAATTTTGGTTACAATTAATTTGTAGCAAATAACAATAAATCGTCAATTTTTCTATGTATAAAGAATCTAAAAATACCTAAGGGTGTTCCGAAGCCCAGTTTCTATACCAATCAAGGCATGAAGCGTTCGCAACACTCGCACCAATCTTGATGTTAAGTCCACACAGAATCTGCTTGACAGCATTCTCGACTTTCTTGCCATTGGAAGTCACTGGGATCTCGGGACATGCGTCAATAATGCCGGGGACATGGCGGGGGCTGAGTTCCTTGCGAATGGTGGACTGAATGCGTGCCGCGAGTTCCGCCGGCATACCTGACTCGTTGCCAGAAGCAAGTCGGACAAACAGAACGACGGTCTCATCGGCGTCGATGCCATCTCGCCTCCGACCAATGCAAAGAGAATCTTCCACATCGTCGGCGAAATGCTTGAGAAGAATGTTGTAAATCTCGGCACTTCCAAATCGCACTCCGGATGGCTTGAGTACGCCGTCGCTGCGGCCGAGCATGACCACACCTCCAGTTTGTGGATTCAAGCGTACATAGTCTCCATGGTGCCATACCGAGGGTCCGAACACGTCGAAGTAGCTCTTCCGGTACTTCTCTAACCCTGTTGGCCCTGGGGGCCAGAACATGACTGGCTGGGCCGGGAAGGGTGTGACGCAGACAAGATCACCAGGTTCGCCTGTTGCACTGATATCATTGCCAGCATAGTCAAACACTGAGATGTCCATACCCAAAGAACGACATTGGATTTCTCCTTTGTAAACGGGGAGAATGGGGCAGCCGGAGGCGAACAGAGAGAGGATGTCTGTGCCACCGGTGATGGAACCAAGCATGATATCGTGGTGGAAAGAGGAATAAACATATTCGAACGTCGATGGCGCCAATGGGGATCCAGTACTGAAGATAGCCCTTAGGGTCTTCAATGACACTGGCCGATGGGTATGCTTGCGCGGATTCAAGGCGGCTTGTTCGAGGAGAGAGAGGTATTTAGCTGATGTACCAAAATGGGTAATTTGAAGCTCTTCGATCAGTCGCGGCATGGCCATTTCTCCTTTTCCGCCTTCGTCATCAAAGGGCCGGAAGGGTGAACCATCGTACAGGACGATTGTTGCTCCACTGGCCAAGCCCGATACCAGCCAGTGCCACATCATCCAGGTTGTCGTTGTGAAGTAGAACAAGCGATCACCTGGCCGAATATCACAGTGAAGAAGATGTTCTTTCTTGTGTTGCAACAATGTGCCTAGAGACCCATGAACGATAGGCTTGGGCGCCCCTGTTGTACCGGAAGAGTACAAGATATAGACAGGATGATCCGGTCTCAAGCTTGCAAACTCCAACGGCGCCTGGGGATTTTTGACCTCAGACACGAACTCATCATAAACCTTTGCTTTCCCGTTTGCAGGTCGAAGGTCATTTAGGTTAACTTCGAGTTCCGGGGTAGTAATAAGGAGCACCAAAAGCTCAAGGTCTGGCAATTCAGAGACAATCTCCCATACCTTGGCATGTGAGCTATGCACCTTGCCATTGTAGAAGGAGCCATTATCCGCAAAAAGAATCTTGGGTTGGATCTGCTTCAAGCGCTCCAAAACAGCATGCACACCAGTGTCAGGTGACACACCAGTCCAAAAGGCCCCGATTGAGGCTGCGGCCAACATCGCCACGACGGTATTAGCATGATTGCCTACGAAGCCCGCGACACGATCACCGGTCTTCAGACCTGCTTCTTTCAAAGCGTTTGCGCATAGCCGAACTCGCTCTCGCAGCTCCTTCCACGAAATGAATTCGCGGGCTACTTCAGTGGCGCCAATCACTGCCACGGAATCTTCATCCGGCGAGGTGGCGGGATACAGGAGATTCTCGGCGAAGTTTAAAGTGCTGCCTTCGAAAAATGAAGGTCTGGGAAATAGCACATCTTTTGAATCAAGGACCTATGTAAATCAGATTAGGATCGGATATCTTACGTCGAAGATCATGCATCTAGATACGAATGGGAATTACTCACTTGTTGGTATGGATTGTGGGTATGGATTTTCGTATAGTGCCATATCTCCTCCCAGAATTGGGTCGGTTCAGAGACACTCCATTTCCAGAGAGCGTTGTAATCATTCAGTATCAAGCCATACTTCTTGTTCACTTTAGTCATGAAATCATAGATCTGGGTTGTCTCCGGAGAGGAGGGCCGCCAGAGTTCCTTGACCTCCGGCTCAAAGATTTCAATATGAGGCATAGTTAATGATGTTTGTATAAGGCCAGAGCTCGAAATTCGGAGTATGAAGTGTGGAGTATGTAGAGTGTAGAGTGTAGAGTGTAGAGTGTAGGGTGTAGAGTGTAGACTGTTGAACCAATCTACCCAATTGTCACACTAGAACCCAAGACAATATAAGAATAGACTTCCCAACCGATTTGAGGGATTTGATAGGGCTTCACAGGGTGTCAAGGGTCAAAGCTTGCACAAGTCAAGGGCGAGTCACACAATCTAAACTACCCCAAGGGGGATGGCGGGGCGGGAGTGATCGGGTATTGAGTTGCCGATCTCCGCGGCTACGGGAATTTCATATAAAAGCCCCTGAACTTGAATTGTACAGTTTCTCTGATATGCATCTATTTTATGGAGTTACTTTCAGAGGATGTCACATTACAACAAGATTGAAAGTGACATTTGCTGCCTCAGGCACCTTGCCGTTTTCATATCTTCGAAAAACCTTAGATACCTTCATGTCACATATTGTGATGTGTAGGTGTCACAGACCTCGAAAATCGAGATGATGTGACTATTTGGTCTAAATTCATGAATCGGATATACTGAGCATGACATGGCTGGTTACTAGCATAATATACTACCGAGTACGGAGTACTCCGTATAACAAAGATATATCAGGATCTACAGAGTACATGTGCACAATAATTGAAGGGCTAGCCCAACGGGTACGGATACGACTGTCCGACCCTCCGACTCTCCGTTGTGGCTTTTTGGCTTTTTGGGTCTTTGGGTCTTTTCGGGTCCGAAATTTTAGTCGAAAAAAATTTGAAATTTAAAAATTTGAAGTATTGATGGGGTAATAATACCTCCTTGTTACGAAAGATCAGCCAATCATATGTAATTATCACTGTACTGCATGTGTTTTTAATTAATACCAGGAGGTCACTGCATAATGGGTCGAGGCAGCTTAGGGAAACACGGAGGTCTCTTATTTACCTTCTCAGACTCTCCTTCTTCTTCAACCCTGTACTCGTTTCCGTGCTTCATTATTTCTGTTTGTAGTGTAACGGAGATTGGTCCGTTCGTCATCTGAACGTAGGGCTCTTTGCCCCTTCGTGTTTCTTGCCCCCTCATTCCACGTGCACGCGATCTTTGAAGCCCTTTCGGAGTATCCGGCTCCCGCTTACACCTCGAATCAACCTTGTGGTACGTCTCAATCTGTGAAACTTGTGAGCTGGCTGTTCCTGGGTCTGGTTTATTTGGGAATGGAGCATGGCTCAGGGGTATCGCATTGATGCCTAGTCGAGAACGATCAACTAATTGGCTGCGGTTTCCAGATTGAACACATTGCCTGAGGTTGCTATCGACTCCGAAGACCGCTCAACTCTCCAAGAACACAGCCACCAAAACACGTCAACTCTTCACTACCTTCGGTAGTCCCTCCCTCAAATAGTCAATTCGGACACGCGCTCAACCCAAAGCGCCCCTCGATCCTGACGTGAAAAAAAGAACACCCGAGCCGAAACCTTACGTTGTTTCCTCCTGCGATGCCTCGTCGATTTAGCAGCAACTCCTCCAACGACACCTCTACCAACCCGCCGTCCTTTTCACCTTCTTCGGGAAAGGGCGGTATCTCCATCAAGGCCCCCAGCGTCAAGTCCAATCGCCTTTCTCAGTTATTCTCGGCCTCGCCAAAGTCAAAGACGGAAACTGTACAAAGTGGACATCCTCAACCTAACAATTCTTCTCCGCCGATAAGCCTGGCATCACTGTCCCTACCGACGATCTCTCTATCAACAGCCACCGCGGATAACCCCAACATGGACGAGCTGCCTACAACACTCTTCCAGCCTCCGACCCCTGAGGAGGCTCGTCGGCTGGCCAAGCAACATGCCCAGTTTGGTCCGATCGGTCATCCCAGCCATCGATACTCCAGTCGACACCCTGGTGGTGTCTTCCCGGAGCCGGTGATGGACGAGCCGCCGTATTATTACCTGCTCACCACCTACATCAGTTACCTAATTCTAATTGCTTTCGGACATGTCCGTGATTTCTTTGGCAAGCGATTCCGCGAGGAGAACTACCGCCATCTCAAGCCTCGTGATGGCTATGGCGCTCTTAACAGCGATTTTGACAACTTCTATGTGCGTCGTTTGAAATTGCGCATCAACGACTGCTTCGAGCGCCCCGTGACCGGTGTTCCCGGCCGCACCATCACTCTGATCGATCGAGGCACGGATGACCACAACCAGCACTTCTTCCTCACGGGTACCACTACCGACACCCTGAATCTGAGCTCGTACAACTACCTGGGTTTCGCTCAGTCGGATGGCCCTTGTGCGGACATTGCGGAAGACTCCATCAAGAAGTATGGTATTGCAGCACCCAGCACCCGAGCCGAGTCCGGCACACAGGATCTGCATGTGGAAGTTGAGGACTTGGTCGCCAGGTTTGTGGGCAAAGAAGCGTCTATGGTTTTCTCCATGGGCTTCGGCACCAACGCAACCGTCTTCCCCGCCTTGGTCTCGAAGGGATGTCTCCTGATCTCCGATGAACTGAACCACGCCTCGATCCGTTTCGGTGCTCGTCTCTCTGGTGCCTCCATCGCTATGTTCAAGCACAATGACATGAAGGACCTCGAGTTAAGACTTCGAGAGGCTATCTCTCAGGGACAACCCCGCACTCACCGTCCCTGGAAGAAGATTCTGGTTGTGGTTGAGGGACTCTACTCCATGGAAGGTTCCATGTGCAACCTTCCTGGTCTGGTGCAGTTGAAGCGCCGGTACAAGTTCAACCTGTTCGTCGATGAGGCCCACTCCGTTGGAGCCATTGGTCCCAAGGGACGTGGTGTTTGCGATTACTTCAGTATCGATACTTCCGAGGTGGATATTCTGATGGGCACACTTACAAAGTCATTCGGTGCCAACGGTGGCTACATTGCGGCAGACAAGGTGATGATCGACCAACTTCGTGCCACCAACCCCGGTGTCTACTACGGAGAGTCTCCCGCGCCTGCAGTGCTTTCCCAGATCGCTTCCGCTCTGCGCATCATCAGCGGTGAGCTCGTTCCCGGTCAGGGTGAGGAGCGATTGCAGCGATTGGCTTTCAATTCTCGATACCTCCGTCTTGGTTTGAAGCGTCTTGGCTTTATAGTGTATGGTCACGACGATTCACCAATCGTTCCAGTTCTTCTCTTCAACCCGGCCAAGATGCCTGCATTCTCGCACGAGATGCTCCGGCGAAAGATCTCCGTCGTTGTTGTTGGTTACCCGGCCACTCCACTGGTCTCGTCCCGTGCTCGTTTCTGTGTCTCTGCTGCCCACACCAAGGATGATCTTGACCGTGTGCTGACCGCTTGCGATGAAATTGGCAATGTCCTCCAGTTGAAATTCTCTACTGGTATTGCGGGTGGTGCACTGCCTGCTGCTGAACAGCCAACCCCTCCACCAGAGCTGGAGAAGGAATGGCACCGCAAGCGCTCGGAAAACATTTCCCCTCCCCGCTGGCGCGTCGAGGATGTCATCCGACGCGGAGTCCAGGATGTCAAGAATCCCTTGTACTAGTACTAGATTGGCTTCTTTCTCCTACCGGTTGACATGATGTTATCTTGAGTTCTCTAGGCTTTGAGATGAGTCTTCGGTCGGGGGTTTTCCACAAGCACGGTTGTTGCTGGTCACACCGTGCCGGGGTCTTAATTCCATATCTCCCCTTGATCTTTGTTCTGAGTTTCTATGATTCGTGTGATCTTTCGTTGGACTTTGGTCCTAAGGCACATGCATCAAAGCAAAGTGAACTTTCTCAGACTAGAAAGAAAAGGGGAACTGGGGAAAAAAACGAAAAGAAACCAACCCGGTCATGAGTTATTCGAACAAGCAACGAATGAATATGCCCCGTTATCCTATGACCGTTCTACTCTTGCCTCCTGTTTGCATCCATACAGTATTTCATGTTACTTTCTTTGTTACTGTTCTTATTCTTCTCAAGATATTGCCTAATACTGTTTCACCCGTTCAATGCTCTCATTCCTTGGTGTATCTATCCGGCACAACCCTGCCAATAGACATCGAAACTTGGGATGCCTGATGGGAATCTTGCTCTGATGTACAATATGTATAATTCCGCAGAGCAAAGGCTGGCTCCTTTTCGATTCTTTACCTTTTCTACCCTTTTTGGACTTCTATTCTACTTTTGTCTATGGTCAGCTTTAGCTCCCCCGTTCTAGCCTACTAGGGAGTCGGTTTTCATTTTAACACATGAGGTTAGGCATAGATAAAGGATATATCCATGGATGTAATCATTGCGCAATAGTTGAATTTTCACAGAATAGCACGTTTCCATAACACTTAGGCGGATGAACAATATCAATATTCGTAGTCGGCATTGCATGTATTATCACTATCATCAGACGCTTCCTTCGATTGCACGTAGGTCATCCTCGACTTGAAATACCGACCAAGTCTTATCTGACGACGAACCTTCACCGGAGCGACCCTCTGCTCGACCCTCTGCTCTCCGAGTTTTGGCACCCTCTTTCAATTTCTCCTAGCGGTCACGGTATCGCTCAAGAACATTTTTAAGCTTGTCGTTCTCATGAGCAGTTTCAAGTTTCTTCTCACTACGCTGGATCTGCTCGAGTTCATTGATCCGGGCGTCTGAGCCCTAAGTTGTGGAAATACCGTCCTCAACCCGTGCATTTTCGGAAGTATAACTGTGATCGCAAACGGATAGAGCAGAGGCGTACTTGTGAAAGTAGGCAAGGGTTTCAACGATTTCCTGAAAATGATCGGAATAGTTTCTGTTTAGTTGACACCACTGATGAAATATTAGTAACAACCCCCTTGTATTTCACGAATTAGAAGTAATATAGGTCTACTTACTTCGCCTTTATTATTGATTCGAAGGAAATGGAACTGCTCATTATCCGTCGAGAGACCGAAAACCGTGCAGTTAGCCCTTCCCTCATATCGACGTTGCGCACGGATCATACCTGAAGAAATGAATAAACCATCAGTTATGAAGCCGAACAAGAAGGAAGAAAGACTCCATTCCCTACCCATGTACGCCAGAGTATGAGTTATTTTATAGGTAACTTGCTTTGTCTCTACTTCGACTATCACGAAATTGACAGCCACGTCCCTTTTCCTTTTCTTACCAGACGGGCTGTACCAAAGAGACCAATCAGGGAATCCTTGTAGACAGTACTTCTTCCCCTTGTAGATAACCGGCTCAAATGAAAATCGGCATTTAGGTGAGATGGGGATTCAAGTAAGATGAGGTGAAAAAGGGTCAGGTGGCGTAGAATGAACAGCGCCAATAATCATACCTAGACGAAGTCGTAACGCGACCTCGTGTTTTCCATCACACTGAGCAACCGAGGTATCAATCATGTTGAAAGTAGACTCCAGACAATATTAGCTATCTGGTCAAACATCCTTTACGGTTAGACTTACTGCAGTCGTCGGGAACCTCAAATGAGACCCGAAACTGGTCCCAGTCCGTATTCGTAGCTTGGGTGAGATGGAAAATGGTTTCAACGTCCGTAAGTTTAAGGTCTTGAACTGCTAGCGTAGGAAACAAAAGCGGTCGTGAAGACCCCATTTTGCGAGGAGGGGGGGTGTGGGTAGGGGGTGGAAGAATGGAAAGGGTGTTGTTTTGTTCAAAGAGTCAGAATCTCGAGTGAAAAGTTCTGTGACCTCAGGATTACACTTAAAAAGGTATATCCATGGATCACAGGTTATACATAGAAAGGTCGCTTGCATAAAGTATGCTTGGTATAACCTTTGATACTAGAAGGATCTATCTAGTATTAGTGTACTATGTGTAGTCTATAACGAATATTGACATTGTCAGAAACAGACGAATAATCTGAATGTCCACTTAGCTTGATAGGTAGACACTAGCAACGCCATTGATAAACTAATACTGAAATATCCATGCCAGTACTGGAAAATGAGTATTCAGTCCGGTCAATGTGAATGGTATTTCTATCATGCTGAGCTTTTACGCTTTTATATCAGGCGGCCGGGTCACGCCAGGATCAAAACAAAGAAAAAAGCAAGTCGGGATCATTCCACATGGGAGAGATCCCTCTGCACCTCCAAGACAGCGGGCTATGAAGAGCCGAAAAAAAAGAGAACAGGGAAGAGAAGATTTTTAAATTCGACAAAAAAAATAGACGAGGCGCAAGCAAACGCCTGTCAGCAAAAACAGAGGGATATCATTAAGATTCAAAGAATCCAGACATGTCGCAAAACAACAATTTGAAGAGGATAAATTGAATGGGGAAGAAGAAATGAAGGATAAAAAAAAAAAAGCAAAAAGCAAAACCATAAGACTCGTATACTCGATAAGTCGTCAGGGAGGAAACCATCCCCTCCACCCATATATGTAATATGTGCAGCCAGGAGGCCATTCACTCGTCCTTCAGGCTTCCGACCAAATTCCGTAGCACGTCCATGATGACGGCTTCGTCTTTTGGTTCGCCGCCTGGGAAGGAGCTCTCTGGCGCATCACCCAACACGCGTGCACGCGCACTCCGTAGAACTTCCCGGATGTAGTTCTTGTCCTCGTAGTCTTCCATGAGAACAGCTTCAAAGTCATCGATTGCCTTGTTTGCTCGGTCAATGAACGAGGATGACTCTGGTGGCCCTGGTGCAGAGTTTTGCTGAACAGGGTGTTGCTGTTGATGGTGAGAATGGGCCGGGAGGCCGGGGGGCGGATGATGCTGGTGCTGAGGTTGATGCTGGTGTTGGTGCTGATGCTGCGGCTGGTGCTGGTGGTGAGGTAGCGGATGTTGCTGTTGAGGAGGGTGCGACAGCGGCTGCGACTGGGGTTGGACCGGTTGCTGATGCGGATGTTGATGCTGGTGCTGGTGTTGGAATTGCACTCCACCAGATGGAGGAGGGTAGGCCCGAGGCTGCGGGTTGTTGTGAGGAGGTTGAGAGGACGGCGGCTTTTGTTGTGGATAAGGGGAATGATGCTGAGGTGGTCCGTGAGGAGGCCGTGGGGTCTGCAATTGTTGCTGCTGGCCACCTTGTGGAGCGGGGGCGGATGCGTAGGGTGAAGTGTAGGTTGAAGGGATGGTGGCCGCAAATGCAGCTGGGAGGTTGTTGCGGAGCTGACTGGGTATGGGGAAGGATGCAGCTGGATTGATAGGCGGTGCTGGTGTTGGCGCTGGTGCTGCTGCCGGTGGCGGTGCCGACTGTACTGGCGTGGGCGCCTGTGTAGGTGCGGGTGCGGGTGCAGACGCGGGCACAGGAGCCGGTGTAGGTGTTGGCGCTGGTGATGGGATAGGAGCAGCGACCGGGACAGGTGTAGGCGCCGGTGGGGGTGCCGGTGCCGGCGTCGGAGCCTGAGGTGGGGGTGGAGCAGGAGCAGGGGCTTGAACCGGCGGAGCGGGAGGAGCGGTAGGTGTAGGAACAGGGGCCTTCGATGGAGGTGGGTAGGGACTGGATTGTGGTGGATGTCCTCCGACATTAACAGAGGCCGGGAAAGGAGCAGGCGGTATGGAAGGGAATTGGAAATGCTGCGGCGGATTTGGCACCGGCGGTGGGCCCTGAGGTGGTGCATAAGAGTGGGACATCTGAGGCATATATTGCTGGGGAGCAGGCGCAGGAGGGTGGGACACCTGCGGCGGCGGCGAAGGGCGTCGTTTCTTTTCCTTCTCTACTGACGCGCCTGGAATAAGCTGCCATGACCAACCCTTGCCATCTCGCTCTGCGTGCATGAACAAATGGCCGTTGCCGTTCAGGTTGTGCCGTACACTCGATGTCCAACCCTCAGTCTCACACTTGAAGCGGAAGTACGGATACTTCAGTTTCAGCGCACGGTAGATCTGCTTCAATGTCATTGGCGTGCCGGCTTCCGTCAGAGCATCAAAGATGAGAACCGCGTAGTTGTACGGGGGTTTCGCCAGATCCTCGGCATTGTAAGCAGACTCCGGAGGATAGTTGGGAGATGGTGACCGTGATGGCTTGCGCTTTTTGACCGGTGGGGGCTTGACGTATTCTTGCAAGGGCTCTGCAGACATTTGGCCGCCTTCTGTTGAGGGAAGGGGAGAATCAATTGGTGTGCCATCCGGCTTCTTTCTCTTAGTGTACTTCCGCTTCTCGGAGGGTTTGTTTGTTGGTGACTCTGGAACGACAGACTCTTTGGCAACTGTCTTCCCGGCCTTGGGTACCTTGAGTGGAGGTGGTGTGATACCTCCGTTGGCCTCGCGCTTGGCAGCAATTTTCTGCTCCCGGGCAAGCTCAGCTCGCTCGCGCTTGGACATGATTCCATCCTTGGGAGGGCGTCCTGGTCCCCGGCGGCGGGCCGGCTGGGAATCGTTATCCCCATTCTCAATGGAATCCATTGCTTGGGATGATTTGGAATCCTTTGTCTTGAGGATAATCTTCTTTGAGGGCTCCCTGCTCTCGCCGCTGTCGCTCCCAAGTCTCTCAGATTCATCGACATCGTCATCCATTTCAATTGAAGCACGAGCATCTTTTTCCTCTTCCTCGTCGTGCTTTTCTGCCATTTTTTCTTCCATCCGGTCCGCTCCAGTTTCGCCAATGGGGACGTCGGGTAGCAAAAAGCGGATGCGCACGCCTCCAATTTGGATGTAGTCGCCGCTGTGTAACGGGCGAACTTGCCCCGGTGATAGCCAATCGGCCCCAATGAACGCTCCATTACGTCCCATTACTTCCATTTCAAACAAGTTACGGTCAAAGTTGTATGAGATCCGGACATGCCTCCGAGAAATCCCTCGATGGCCTGCGGCACTACCGTCAACGGTCGTTGGGGGGTGGATTGGGATGGTGGGACAAGAATCAGGGGATGGGAGCAAAGCCAGCGCATCAACAGGCTTTGCATCTCCGTTTCCATCTTGCAAAGATTGCATTGCGAGCGCATTGTAGTCTGTTGTCGATTGTAGTTGAGCCGGGTTTGCATGTAATGGTACAACAGCATCGTCAAAGGAGGATCTTGAGGATCGTCGGCTCATGTTCATATTGTTCGGGAGATGCGGAGGTATATCTGGATCAAAGCCCATAATACCTCCCCGATCACTGACAACACTGCCCATCATGGCAGCGCTTTCCTCCCGCTTCATACGGTTCGGGGTGTGGGATGTGTTTCCTCCACTTGAACTCTTCGCCCGAGTGCTTCGCACGGCCTGCCGGTACTGGAACTCTCGGTGATGGGCGGCGCGTGCAGCGCGCACATCTCGTCCTAGGATAAATGAGTAGGTATTGACGTAGAAATGTCCATCATCAAACTCCAACTTGGCAAAAGCTTGAATCTTAGGCTCCGATCCAGCGATTGAAGCTGCCATGTCTGGATATCCCAGGGCTGACAGATCGGCGTTTTGCGAAAGAAAGGCGGCTGTAAGTAGCTCGTTTTGGTGAAGGGCTTCGAACGCATTTTTCGGGGCGGCCGAAAAGTCCAAGGGCGGAAGGAGCGAGGGCTGGTCGGTGGTCAATTTTGGGTTCATAGGGTCGGACAGTGTCCCCATGATATCGGAGTTGAATCCTGCGTGGTCCATATCCTGGACGGAATTTGTTCCCATGAGCTCGTCACCTATAGCTTTCCCATTCAGTAAGTCCTGAATCTCGCGAGAGATCGAGGCTGTGTCTCGGTGCAAGCTCTGGTCGATAGGCGCAGTATTTTGGGCAGCCATGTCAAATGACTGGGAGATTGACTCGTCCATCTTGATATCCATGTGCATATCCTGGTCCTCGTCCTGTTGTGCAGGTTGTATCGTGGTAGGTGTCGAGTTCGCGGCTGATTGATTTCCAAGAAGCTGCGCTAGGAGCGCACTTGCGGCGTTTTGCGTGTTTGCATCTTGTTGGTGTTGCGCCGCTGAAAAGTTGTGGCTGTCCGAGCATTCGGTTTTGATTGCGACGTCCTGGGCGGGCATCCCGTTGGGAGTTGACGGGGCAGAATTATTCTGCATGGCGCGGATTGCGGAGTCGCCTCGAGGATTGGAAGGAGAGTCGGGGTCTGGTGAGCTGCCATAGTCGTACAGGGGGCTATCGGGGCCTGGGTCAGGCGGTCGATGGCCCACGGCTGGCGCAGTCATGGTCTGCGACGACATGACAGGCTGGTGCTGGGGAAGGGAGAGGAATGAAGTTCCAATAAGAAGGGAAGTTCTCAACTTGGGCCGGGCGGTGAGCGATGGCCGAGTTGGTCGCTGCAGATGGCCGTAGTCACCGCTGAGCCATGTTTTTTTTTTTTTTCCTTTTTCGTTGTTTTGTTCTTGAATTCTCGATATCGCGATTTGACTTGACGAATTAACCAACAAATGAGAATCTGGAAAGGTTCACGGTTGGAGAAATGAAGAAAAAAAGCGCCGATGATCCTCTTCCGGGACAAATTTTCTTTCCCGCCCCGCCCAAATCCATATTCTCTCCGACCTGATCCACCTAGATGGACTGCCCGCAGCTGGTTCCTCACCGATTTTGTTGATCAAAAAGCCTAGATCTATATATTGAATGTGACATGGAGTATAATTCTATACAATTGACCCCTTTTTTACTTCTAGAATCTCACATTGCCTCAGTCTATTGTCTACATGTAGGGTGGAGTCGACCCCTCAGATATTCAGTGGCTTGCCTCCC